TTTTGCTAATTTCTTGTAACAATTTAAAGTGTGAGAAGAAATTGCCGCTGGTACTCCAAAATGAGATATTATCTCGTTTAATAATGTTTTAATTACTTGTCTTGCATTATTCATTCTACAAGGGAATGCTTCTGGCCACCCTGAAAAAGTATCCGTTAACGCCAACAAATATCGATAGCCTCCTTTTCTTGGTAATTCAGAAAAATCTATTTGCCACTGCTGTCCTGGATAACTTCCTCTCCCAGTTGTCCCAGTTTGATTTCTATTTTCAGTTTTAGGATTATTCTTAAGACAGAGCTGACATTGTTTTGCCACTAGTTGAACTAGTTGAACTATGATGTATAGATTCCTTCCTACAATTTGTTTGTCTAAATGTTCATAGAGAGAGTTGCTACCCCAGTGAGTTTTATCATGTTCCTCCTGAACTACCTTCCAGAGTTGATTATAGGGAATTACAATTTGCCCATCAGGTATCTGAATGCAATCCTATTTGTTTTCCTGTCCTTTCAGATCTTCAATCAACTTTCTGTCCTCTTTTGAATATCTAGGTTAAGATTTCTCAATTGTTAGTTTGCCATCAGGGATTAAGGACATGATTTTAGATTGTTCAGCTGCTTGTTTGGTTTCAAAATCGGCCAAGTTATTTCCAGTTTCCTGATCAGAGTCAACTTGTTGATGCCCTCTACAATACATAATGGCTACTTCCTCACGTAGCTGAACAGCTTCCAGTAGATGTAGAATTTCTGTAGCATGTTTAATCTGTTTCCCTTGTGTGTTCAGAAGTCCTCGTTCTTTCCAGATTACACCATGTGTATGGACCACACCAAATGCGTGTTTAGAATCAGTCCGAATACTTATCCTTTTATCTTTAGCCAATTCCAGGGCTCTCGTTAAGGCTATTGTTTCTGCCTTTTGGGCAGAGGTGTTTGCAGGTAAAGGTTTATCTTCTGCTACCTGTGAAGTGGTGGTAACGGCATAACCTGCCTTCCATTCACCATTTTTCATGAAACTACTACCATCAGTAAACCAAAAACCAACATGTTCCAGAGGGTTTTCTTTCAAGTCTGGTAGGCTTGAATATACAGTCTCTATAGTGGCCAAGCAGTCATGTGTTGGTAGTTCTGTTGATTGTTCCTGCAAAACGGATACTGGATCCACAACATTAGTGACCACAATTTCTGTGTCATTGTGTTCCACAGGAGTAGCCTGGTATTTAAAAAAAACTTGAAGGAGATAACTGGTGGGCTCCATTCTGTTTCAGGACTGCTGATACAACCTGGGACACTAGTACAGTGATCTTTTGTCCCAGTGTGAGTTTGCAAGCCTCTTCAATATCATGAGAACTGTCACCACAGCCGTTAGGCATCCTGGCCATCCTTTGCTCACTTCATGCAGCTGTTCTGAAAAATATGCCACTGCTCTTTTATAGGGTCCTAATTTCTGAGCAAGGATCCCCAAAGCTATTCCCTGTTCTTCACAGGAATATAGCCAGAGGGGTTTAGTCACGTCCAGAAGCACAGAGCTGAAGCTCTCCTTAGCTCTGTTTTTAAATTTCTAAAAGCCTCCTCTGCTGAATCAGTCCATTCTAAAGAGGGAGAGTTTCCTTTTCACAGTTCATATAGTGGTCTTACCAGAACACCATAATCATGGATCCAAAGTCTGCACCATCTGGTCATTCCTGGGAACGTCCGGAGTTCCTTGACAGTTGACAGTTGTGGAGTTTGACAAATGGCTTCTTTTCTAGTAGTTCCAAGTTCTCTCTGTCCTGTTATTTCATATCCCAGGTAGGAAACTCGGGTTTGTATTAGTTGACCTTATTGTTTGGATACCCAATAACTATTCAGTCCCAGAAAATTTAATAATCCCACCGTCCACTAGACACATTCTGCTTTTGTTTTGTAGCAATTAATAAGTCATCCACACATTGTAACAGAGTCCCCATCTGAGTGGGTGGCTTCCATGATTCTAGTTCCCGTGCTGATTTCCAAAAATCGTTGGACTGTTTTTAAACCCTTGAGGTAATACCATCCAAATTAATTGAGCTTTCCTTCCTGTGTCAGAATCTTCCCCTTCAGAAGCAAATAAATTTTGGCTTTCTTTGGCCAATGGTAAGAAAGAGATAACATCCTTTAAATCCAGGACAGCAGACCATTTCTGATTTAATTTTAGTTTGGTCAATAAAGTATATGGATTACCCACTACAGGGTGGATGTCCTCTACTATTTTATTTATTGCCCTTTAGTCTTGAATTAACCTATAGGTTTTCCCATCTGCTTTCTTTACTGGTAAAATGGGGTGTTATATTCCAGTGCACATTCCACTAATGAATCATATTTTAGAAGCCTATCAATTGTTTCTTTAATTCACTTTCTATCTTTTATCCTTAAAGGCATCAATTTAAAACATACAGCATATCTAAAGTTACAGAATTGTTTCAAATACTTATGCATAGGGTGGCTTCCAGGTTCATAACATTAGAATTCTAGGTAACGGACATGTTTGTTTGCAAATCAATACACTTACAGTAACAGAAAATGAAAGAATAATGCTTCCTCAGGTGATTAAAGTATGAACATAAAAACAAGATTAAAAAGTGTATTATGGCAGTCAATTTTGGCACTCAAAATCACAGAATCATAGAATAGCTAGGGTTGGAAAGGACCTTAAGATCATCTAGTTCCAACCCCCTGCCATGGGCAGGGACACCTCACACTAAACCATCTCACCCAAGGCTTCATCCAACCTGGTCTTGAACATTGCCAAGGGTGGAGCATTCACAGCCTCCCTGGGCAGCCTGTTCCAGTGCCTCACCACCCTAACAGGAAAGAATTTCCTCCTTATATCCAATCTAAACTTCCCCTGTTCAAGTTTTAACCCATTACCCCTTGTCCTGTCACTACAGTCCCTAATGAAAAGTCCATCCCCAGCATCCCTATAGGCCCACTTCAGATAGTGGAAGGCTGCTATGAGGTCTCCATGCAGCCTTCTCTTCTCCAGGCTGAACAGCCCCAACTTTCTCAGCCTGTCTTCATCTGGGAGGTGCTCCAGCCCCCTGATCATCCTCATGGCCCTCCTCCGGATTTGTTCCAACAGCTCCATGTCTTTTTTATGTTGAGGACACCAGAACTGCACACAATACTCCAAGTGAGGTCCCACGAGAGCAGAATAAAGGGGCAGGATCACCTCCTTCAACCTGCTGGTCACGCTGCTTTTGATGCAGCCCAGGATACGGTTGGCTTTCTGGCCTGCAAGCACACACTGCAGCTGGCTCATGTTCATTTTCTCATCGACCAGCACCCCCGAGTCCTTCTCTGCGGGGCTGCTCTGCGTCTCTTCTCTGCCCAACCTGTAGCTGTGCCTGGGATTGCTCTGACCCAGGTGTAGGACCTTGCACTTGTCATGGTTAAACTTCATGAGGTTAGCATCAGCCCACCTCACAGGCGTGTCGAGGTCCCTCTGAATGGTATTTCAGCGTATCAACCGAACCACACAGCTTGGTGTCACTGGCGAGCTTGCTGAGGGTGTACTCAATCCCACTGTCCATCAGTTGATAAAAAAAATAGTTTTTTATCATTATCAGTTTTTATCATTTTTTATCAGTTGATAAAAAAATAGTTTTAATTTCTTGTCAGCCAAACAAGCCCCACTCTTCTGAAAAGTGCTGCTTCTGTTCTAACTAGCACAGATCATAATAGAAAGTGTCTTTGATTTCCATTAGTGAGGTATCGTGGGTGTACTGTGAGGCTTGGTGTTGTGATCCAGTAGCTTTAGTTTGAAATCCAGTAACTTTAGTTTGAAAATGTATTTGAAAGTTTTATCTCCTACTTTGCTTATCCTTATTTCTGTTGGGATGTTAACAGTTTTGAAGGCCTTTGAAGGCCTGAAACAGATCCATGTGTAAGCTAATTTTTGGCACAAAAGAACTTTGAATATCCTTATTTCTTGCTAAAATAAGAGCTTCATACAAAAAAAACCCCAAATCCTACAAAAACAGAAAAAAACAAAACAACAAACCAACCCTCACCAGAACAGAAAAACACAGAAAAACAAACAAAAACAAACAAAAAACCCCAAACCAACCAAAAAGAAAAAAAAAAAGAAACCAAACAAATAGCTAAAATGCTAAGTAAATTTTGCTTTCTGTGCTTAGGGTTATTGTAAATGCTAAGTTTACATTTTCTTATACTATAAACTAATCTTTTGACTGTAAAACATCCAGATCTCATTGTCAACGTATTTCAGAATACCAAGTTACTCCAGTCTGCTCAAGTAGAAATGAAAAATCTAGGCTGTTCTTTTTCTGCTCCTCCTGTCCCAATAAGATGGAGAAATTTGCAGGCAAAAAATGCTCAGTGAAGAGAACTCAAACTTTGCTTAAATTCTTACTTAGTTCAGGTGAATTCTGAATGGTTCACATTGCATAACACCTAACATAGTTTGAAGACTTCTATTCTTCACCTAATTATTACATTAATAAATCGATATAACAGCTGGTGTCTGAAGGGATTACAATACCTTATTTTGTAGAAAAAGTGAATACTGTGTTTCTGTGGGACTACAGGGTGGAGGATTTACTGTCCCTACGTCATTTCTGTATATTACTATGGTGAAAACCAGATTTGTCATAAATTTCCTTCAGTATCAGTGTTGGAAGTCAAGTCAGTATAATCAGAATGTCTGAATGTCTTTAACCAATTTCTTTCATGAGTCTCCTAGATCCTGTAACTTCAGATCTATTCCTTGCCTATATCTGTATATGAAACTTCCTGATAAAAATGTAGATTTTGAAATACAGATATTCTAATTTTAAATAAATAGAAGTAGTGAACTCTGAACCTGAAAAGCTTTGCCATGTGAATTGATGGGTGCAGCTGGAGGGTAAGATAAGGAAATGAACATTCGTATCTCTGTATAAGCTTTGTTCTTGTTGTATTGCTGTGGAAATCTGCTTTATTCCTATGATCTGATTGAAAGTTGACTGTAACTGTTGTCTGTTGCAGATGAGCCGACACGATCCTTGAGTGGTCTCATCTTGAAGAATAATGTAAAAGCACATTTTCACAACTTTCCCAATGGGGTAACTGATTTCATTAAAAGTGAATGTCTGAACAACATTGGTGATTCCTCCCCCTTAATTAGAGCTACTGTAGGTAAGTTTGCTCTTATTGCTGTCTTCTGCATACTGAAAATGTTACTGATATGGGTGAGAGCTGCACTGGTGACATAAAGAGTTATTAAACTCCTGAAACTCTTTGTTCCTGATAATTGTCACAAATTTACCGTGTTTAAATGCCGATATTCATCTTCAGTGTGAATGTACAAAAGTTACACTTTATTTTACTTCCTATTCTCTCAGAAATTATTTAGAAATTCAGTTCATACATCTTGAAATGTAACTGAAAATAAGTTTATTTGAATCTGTGAAAATCGAGCTTGCTCCCAGTTTCTATACCTAAAACCAGGAACAAGGTAAAGGTCTGACTTCAGGACTCTTTTGGTACTCTGCTTGCATCAGTGAAGCACTTCTTTTTGCTGATTTGCTGTGCCCTGCCCCCTGTATGCGCACACACACACATCTCTGCAGGGAATCATCATACGATGCATAACATTCACGTAACAAGTTTCAGTTTTTAAATATGTTCTGTCAGAAAAACAGTAGATCAGGTGTGATGTACAGTAATCATAGAATGGTTTGGGTTGTTTGTTTTCAAGCACTTGTTCTTTGATTTCTCCTAGTACAAAATGTCTGTGGATTAGTACCTCAATTACTGCTTAGCTTTGAGTGATCCTTGCAGGGATTATTCAAGCACATATGAGCTCTGAAGACGGCTAGCAACTGATGAACTGTATGCTTGTGTAACAGTTGCTATTTAGCACATGCTTTCACCCTGACCCTTTGCAAAGATGGAAGCAAGCTGATTAATCCCAGAAATCACCTCGCTGAGGAGAATGAGCATGGCAATAGTTTATTTTAGAACCGTGACTGGAGCCCAAATGGTAACAACATGTTTTTGTATCCTTACTTAGCTTTTCCCCATTTTAGTCCTCAAATGAGTAATAGTGTGGAAGTTCTCTGTGCTATACAGTACAGGTTTTTAAACTCCATGTGCTAATGTTGAAATACAGGTTCAAGTTCAAAAAAGATGGCTGCATCTGTTAAGGACCCACAAACTTACCAGGAAATAAATGCATCTCTTTAGGCAGTGTCTGTAACTGGTCTTAAAACCACCTAGGGATTCTAGTCTATAGTGTAGTGTAGCTTGTGCTTAAAAGCAAACAGGGAAATATTTTGAGTGTTTAAGAGTAGTAGCAGGTCTGGAAAGCTTTATTGCAGAAGGAAAGTGAAAGCTAATGATTGCCCTGTGAGGAATAATATTGTTAAGTCCAGCTTTTCAGAAAAGGAGTTCAGAAAGCAGCTTGAGGAGCTACAGATGCAAAACACCACACCAAAAAAAAACAGTGTCTCACTGTCCTGTTACTGGCATGAAAGTGCTTGAAGCATAGCTGCTTGTTCTTTATGTTCTACTTTTTTAATTATAGATTGATGCTGTAAACTGAGGTTGCATGTAACTGAAAGTGACATAAAAGATACTGTCAGGACAATTATGTTTTTAGCAATTTCTGACATCCCTCTGAAGTTTTGTTCTCTCATATGTTTACTGTTCAATTAGCCCAACGGGTATATTCATTAGATTTCACATTTGTCAAATGAAGTATCCACAGATTCTGTAATACTGTTTTGAAGTTCATAAAAACCAAAGACCACCTTTATAAAGATTTCAGATTTCTAACCCTGCAGCTTAGTATGTTGGTCAGAAGAATGGGCCTGTTTTAACTGTCAGCTCTGACCCAAACCTGTCAAAGAGCTGCAAGCTATCAAATTGATAATTTTTTTACGTTGATTATTCTTCTGATATCCATGTTTCTGTGCCTGAAGTTTCGCAGAGGAAGCCACAAACGCTAATCTCTGGTGTCATCTGTTCTCTGCTGGCCAAATAAAGCTGCAGGTGGGTGGGAAAAATTTCACATTTGAAAGACGATGAAGGCTATTAAAAGTCCATGAAGACTCATTTTAACATGAGCATAAGCACTTAAAACTTAATTTTGTGTGGCTGTTTCCTCATTGTTTTTAAAACCTTTTGCAAAGCTTCAAATGCCAAAGCTGTTGCCTCTCTTAAGTTCCTGATACTACTTTTTATTTTTTTTTTTGTCCCCACCAAAGTGCCTCTGTGATTACAATAACACTAGCGCAGTGTTAAATGGCTTCTCCACAGACCTGTAAAGAAAGTTCACAATGACACATTGTCAGGTTTAGTAGCACAAGGCTTCAATGGTCACCTAGCCCCTGGCCCTTGGCAGCAACCCCCAGTGAACATAGTGCAGTCAGCCCCCACATGGAGCCCGCCTGTAACAGTGCAGTCAGCCCCACATGGAACCTGCCTATAGTTTTATCAGTGTGCTTTACGCACCTGTGGACAGAGGGCACACCTTTCTAAGAATCCTGACTGATAAATAGATTTGAGATCTCTTGAGTTCAGACAAAGCACGAACAAGGCACGATAACGGTAACCTAAGCTTGTATCGTTTTATTAGTTACACTCCTGAGGGTAATTATCTAACGTACCGAGAAGAAGAGGGAAGAAGAGAGAGAGAGGGGAAGAGAAAAAGCGATTAAAAGTAAAAATAGTCACAACCTGGATCCCACAGCATCCTGTGGGTCTGTTGACAGTCCTCAGCAATCGGCAGTGGGTGCACACACGGTTTCATCAGTGACACTCTTTTATAGTTGCAACTTTGCTGAGTCATTCCACGTGAGCCATCTTATGCCAATCACTTTCTCGGTGATGTCAGTCAGCGTTGCTGGGCATGGCCGGGACCTTAACACCCCTGACCCTGCTGCTGCTCGCTGGGTGCTTGCAGTGGGTGCTGCCCACAGGAATCAACATTCGTGGCACGGGAACAGGAGCAGGAGGAATATGAGGCAGGGGGAAAGAGGGCATTAGTGGCTGACATTGAGATGTGGTTAGCCCCCTAATACAGGGTCTGTGCGACCGCGAGAGTCCTTGTTTGGTTGGCCCTTTTGAACAGAAGGTGAAACTTAAGATTTTCTGAGACATCACGAAAGACGGCAGAGCCAAGTCCCACACATGTATCTGGACTGCATACACCTCTTCTGCAGGGGGCAGTGGCCTCAAGTTGCTTCTTGCCTATGCATCTGGAAGTATTTTCTCCTAGGTTATCATGTTGCTGTCATGTTGCCTTTTGGAAGAACACTTAAAGTAGTTTTCAGGTAGTCTTCCCTTCAGCTGTGAAAGCTCACATATTATTACAAGTATATCCAGACCATCTGTCATCCTCTGAAACCACTTCCAGGACTTTGAAAGAATCTTCAACTCTTTTCCAAAACTACCTGCTCCTTTGTGTCTTACAGCTTGTGTCACATGTCAGTACAGAAGAGTTCCAGGAATTCATTTTTCAAACAAATCTGTGCCAGATCTAAGTTATGGGGATATTTTTGCAATTTAAGTACTTTGACTAGGGGGCAAGACAAATCATTTATTTTGTTCTTGTGAAGTTCAGTTTAATCAAAATATTGAAATTACTTTTAAAGAAGTTTATCATTAAAATTCGACAACAGTAAAATAAATATTTTGTATTAATACATCTGGTAGTCTTTGTAGGACCATAATATTCAGCAGAAATGCAGTCTTTATGATTCTGTAGGTCTCCTTAGGCTTTTGGAAATCTTTTCTATTCAGTTGCAGTTATGAAAAGAACTGGATACTACTTCTGGAGCTGTAAAATTGTGTTTTACCTCTGTCTTCATTTTTGCCTTTTGTCTGTGTGGGTTCTCCAGCCTATTGCATCAAAGGAAACATGATGCAAAGTGTCTTTTAGTTACTGTGTGTCTTATCCAGAATGCCCTTTGCTCTGTAATGTTGTCCTGTATTCTTGTGTATTTAACAAGATTTTTAACATTTTATTGCAAGGAAAAATTGTGTGTTGTGATTAGCTCAATGAAAAAGCTTGAGAAATTTTTTTCCATCACTTGTCACTTGGGAGGTTAGTTGTAGTACTGTCGAGTTCTTTTGTATTCATACTCACTAGAAATATTTGTCAGTAGCATAACGGGTTATTCTGCCTGTTACATTTTGTCTTGAGGTAAAATGGACTCATACAAAGTCAGTCCCTAGTTTATAAGTAGCTTTCCCTGTTCCTATGACCTAATTAGTTTTTCCTGGGGTTTCTGTATGTGCTGGAAACTATTTGTGACTCTTTGGGTTG